CAGGGCCCAGCATGGAATGATAATGGAACTACAAGGACCACACCACCAAACTGTCTTTCAAAGGACCTATGCCTTTCTTCCTCTTCTTATTTTCTGGGAAGCATATTCATTCCCCAAACAATACTCTTACCATAGTCTTCTTTTTGTCCTGTAGCGCATCCTGCCCATCCCCCATCCACCAGCCCCCAAGCCCCAGCACCTTCCTTGCCCTCTCCTCTCAGGCTCAGCTTTCTGGAACACAGCCCAGCTTACTGCGGATGTTCTCTGACTCAGTTTCTCCCCTGGCAGGCAGTGAGGGTTACTGGACGCAGCAAGAGGAATCAAGTTCAGATTGTGCCACAGAGCAATAGGCATTGAATCAGGCTCACCCAACAGCCTGGCCCTGCCTCACTGAGGGTCAAGTGCCTTGGCCTTGGGTTTCCTGCTGCCCACCAGCAGGCTCTTGTAGTTCCTCTGGCCAGACCTCACACAGCCATTTGTTGGAAAACTTAAGTTCTACACCCTATTCTACCTTGCTTCTGATTTCTCTTATATCACACACACTTCCTGGATAATCCTCACCCCCCAATCTTGCCTCTTCAGACCCCTCCCACACCGATCTTGCCAGTCCTGCCACTCTGCTGACGTTTGGCCCCGCGTGCCCAGTTCTCTGCAGGATGGTCCATCTGGATATTCCCAAGACACACTAGGCTGCGTGTCTTGTGGAGCTGGTTGTCCTCCAAATGCGGTCTTTGGGGATCTCCTTTAAGTGTGGATGATGCCGTTGCTGTCCCAAGTCCTGGCAGCTTGGGCTGTGTCCCCACCACCGTCCAGGGCTATCTCTGGAAATATAAGACAGGTGTGCACTGGTGTCTGGAGGAGGCCAGTCGCCAGCCCTTTGGAGCCAGGGCTTCTGTGGGCTATCCCAGCGCCCAGGCCAGCACCCTGTCTTGGGAGCCGCCCAGCTGTTGTGTTGGCGGCAGGGTGGCAATTCTTTAATTAGACCAAGCAGGGTTTTCTCGGCCGGGGGTGGGAGGAGGTGTGTGGGTCTATTGGGGGAAACTAGGTCACCTGAAAACCAGTAGTCAAGAGGGAGCTGTCCTGGAGCCTCAGCTCCAGGGAACCCAGAGGGGTGAGGTGGGAGGGGCCGGCAGGGAGAGCAAAGTCGGAGAAAATGTGCTCTGGCCCCTTTTAATGGCCCTTGGGAGGCAACGTCCTCACTTTTCTCCAGGGGGCTGGGCAACTGCCCTTAATTCCTTCACCCCAAGCAAACTGCCCAAACCAGAGTGTGTTCCGTCTGCCTGGGGGCCACCATCGTAGGACCCGGGGGTGAGCATGGCACTGGGAGTCAGGCCCAGCCTTCAAGGTACTGCTCAGTTTCTGAAGATTGTCATCCCTGAAGGTCAGTGGCCAGGTGGATTTTCCACATGTCAATCACATACAATTTTTGCCAAACCGAACTGCCATCATTATTTACTCTTTTCTTTGCTCCCACCTTGCTAGCTTTCCACTGGAGTAGATTTATTCAAAAAGGAAATTTCATATCACTACCTTAAAAAAAACAGTAACTGAAAAATCCACAGAAAATGCAAACAATGTCATTTTATTCTATCCTGGATACAATCGCTTGTCCAAGGCCACTGGACCACAAGCAGTTTGTTGAATTGCTTGTTGAACAGCTCCAGAGGCCGGAGTCTATTCTGTGGATATGCACAATGGCTCCCCTGTACCTTGGTCCTTGTCTGCACTGAGGAGGCTCAGAGACTATCTTTGCTTTCTTGTGCAGATTGGACCTTGATATTTGTAGACTTCTGCCTAAGACAAGCTCCATGCATTTGAACATTGCCAAGCTCCCTCTCAGCCCGTGTCTCTACTCCTTTCTACTCATCCTTTGGGATTATCAGTTGTCCTTTACTATGGAGGACCTTGTCTGATAACCCTGGGCAGGTTCGTCCTTTCATTTTTCTACCTGTGTGATGTAGGGAAGTTACCTAATCTCTCTGTGCCTCACCTTCCTTATCTATGAAATGGGGGTGATAATAGTACCTACCTCATTAGCTTGTCAGGAGGATTAAAAGAATTTATAGGTAGATAGGCAGACAGATTGGGATTTCCTAGAAGGCAGAGCTGGTCTCTAACCCATCTGAACCAAGTCTTGTCACCGAGCAGGTCTTCACTGAATGTTTGATTACTTGAGGAAGGGCAGCTAGTAAACATGTGACTCACCAGCTCCCAGGAGGTCTGACCATCAGAACAATATGACGTGGTTTTGAAGTCAACTCTTCTGAGTTCCTTTTAAAAAGGCAACCAAAATATCTACCTAAATGGCTAAAATAAAAGCCAGTGACAACAGCAAGTGCTGGCAGAGAAACGGGATTACTCGTATGTTGCTGGTGGGAATGAAAAATGATACAGCCACTCTGGAAAAAGAGTTTGACAGTTTCTTATAAAACTAGACATCTGATTGCCCTATGAGCTAACGGTTGCACTCCTGGACGTTTACTCCAGAGAAGTAAAAACTTACATTCACAGAAAAATCTGTACATGAATGTAACAGCCCCAAACTAGAAACAACAAAGCTGTTCTTCAGTGCGTGAATGGTTAAACAGACTAGGGCGCACCCATAAAATGAAATACTACTCAGCTATAAAAGAGCTACAAACTATTGATACAGGCAATATTTTGGATGACTCTTAAAGGAATCGTGCTGAGTGGAAAAAGCCAATCCCCAAAAGTTACCTACTGTCTGATCATAGTGATATAACATTTTTGAAATGAAAAAATTCTAGAGATGGGCAACAGATTGGTGATTGACAAGGGCAAGGACAAGAGTGTGTTGGGGAGGCGGGGTTAGGGGTCCTGTGTGATGGAATTGCTTATACCGGGACCACGGTGGTGGATACACAAACCTGCCTATGGAATGAAGTTGCATAAAACTAAATACAAACATGCACACACATGGGCTTGAGTAGATGTCAAACTGGGGAAATCTGAATAAGACTGATAGATTGCATCAATGTCAGGTTCCTGGTTGTGATACTGCACGGCAATTTTGCAAGATGTTACCACTGGGATAAATTGGATAAAACGTACATGGCATTTCTGTGTTACTAGTCATAACTGCATGTGAATCTACAATGATCTCAAAAAGAAAAGTTTAATTAATTTAAAAAGCATTGTAAGGTATTCAGCCCTGGCTGGTGTGGCTCCTTGAATTGAGCATTGGCCTGCTATCCAAAGTGTCACTGGTTTGATTCCTGGTCAGGGCACATGCCTGGGTTGCAGGCCAGGTCCCTGTTTGGGGCATGTGGGAGGCAACTGATTGAAGTATCTCTCACACATTGATGTTTTTCTCCCTCTCTTTCTCCTTCCCTTCCCCTCTCTGTAAAAGTAAGTAAAAATAAAATCTTTTTTTTTAAAAAAAAAAGCATTGTAAGGTCTTCAAAAGAACAGAAAACAAAAGGCAACAAAGCAAGTTAGCTGTTTCCTGCCGAGCCTTGCCATAGGCTTATGTTTACCCTTGAGGTCAGGTCCTCAGATCCCCTGGACCTTTGCCCTGGGAGTTTCGCCAAGCCAGCCCCTTCCCATTCTGCCTGTCTACCCTCCAGTCTCAGAGCTAGGAGAGCCTGAAGAACATTCTGGCCCAATCTGAGCACTCGAGGGTCCAGGCTAAGATTGAACCCTGATCTTTAGCCTCTTGAAGACAGGCAACCGCCCGCCGACCCCCCCAGCCCCGCCCTGCTGCCGCTGCCGGATGGGAATGAAACAGAGAAACCAGGAGATAACAATCACTTCCTAAAGCACAGGGCCATCCTGATCCTCTTTGTGACAACGGAAATTTCCACATCATGCAAATATAACCCGTGCCGGTCTGTCTCTGTCACCCATCAACCCCCAATTCTCCGCCAGCCTGGCCTGTGGGTTCCCAGATGTACCGCATTTACACATCCCTGCCCTTCCTCCAAGCTGGTTTCTCTTTGCTGCTGTACTAGGTGTATAACATTTTTGGTCAACTCTTTCTATTCCTTGAACATTGTATAAATTCTGGGAGGTAGATACAACATTTTATAGGTGGGAAAACAGGCTTAGAGAGGTTCAGGTTGTCTTAAGACTCTTTCCCTCTTCATCCGAGAGCCCATGGGGTCTGAAGATGGGGACTAATGGGCCTTAGGCTCTGAAGTTTTCTGGACCTCATGTTGTCCAGGAATCAATGAGAGCAAGAAGTGTGACTTAGAAAAATATATATATTTTAAAGATCAGTCAAAGAGGAACAATTCAACTAAGATTTTCTAGGTCTCAGTAGTTCCACAATTATCAAACTTTTTGGTCTTAGACCCCCGTTATACTCTTAAAATTAAGAATCCCAGAGAGCTTTTTTTCTTTGGGTCATATTTGTTAACATTTAGCATAAATACAAATTAGTACTGAGGAATTAAAAATATAGTACTAATTCTTTTAAAATTAACAATAAACCCCTTTCCTTGGCTGGTGTGGCTCAGTGGATTGAGTGCAGACCTGCGAACCGAAAAGTTACGGGTTCGATTCTGGATCAGGGCACATGCCTGGGCTGTGGGCCGGGTCCCCAGTTGGAGGCATGAGAGAGGCAACCAATTGCTGTGTCTCTCGCACATCGATGTTTCTCTCCTCTTTCTCCCTGCCTTCCCCTCTCTCTAAAGGTAAATAAATAAAATCTAAAAAAACAAACCAAAACAACCCCAATAAACCCCTTATATGTTATAACAATGTAACAATAAATCCTTCTATGTTATAACAATGTAACCACAGTAAATGGTAAGATATGATGGAGATGTTAGCTAACACTACATTGGTAATCATATAGCAATCTATAAGTGTATCAAATCAACACCTTAAATTTACACAATTTACAGGTCAATTATATCTTAATAAAGAAAAAAACAATAAAATAGAAAAAAAAGTGTTTTGAACATTGGCGAGGTGACAGAATCAAATCTGCGTTGAGCTTGACAAGCATGTCCACCTTGTCTCTCTCCCTGCCACAGGCCCCACCATGAGGCCCCAGCCCCGCCAGAGCCCCCGCGCTCCCCGGGCCCCGGGCACGCCGTGCTAGCCCCTATCTGGGGTGTGGGGAGGCCCGGTGGCCATGGCCAGCCACGTGGACCTGCTGACGGAGCTGCAGCTGCTGGAGAAGGTGCCCACGCTGGAGCGGCTGCGGGCTGCCCAGAAGCGCCGGGCGCAGCAGCTGAAGAAGTGGGCGCAGTATGAGCAGGACCTGCAGCACCGCAAGCGCAAGCACGAGAGGAAGCGCAGCACGGGTGGCCGGAGGAAGAAGGTGACCTTCGAGGCCAGCGTGGCCCTGCTGGAGGCCTCCCTGCGGAACGACACTGAGGAAGGTAGGCCACTCTGATCTTGCTTGCTGGCGGCACCTCAGGGTTTCACCCCCCAGGTTCTGTGCAGTAGATGTGCGGGCTGGGGATGGGGGATCTGGCCACCTCCTGAGTTTGTCAGCCTCGTACATCTTGGGAAGGCTCCAAATAGGTCTTACGCTTTTTTTTTTTGTGGTGAGGGGGAGGATCAAGAACCCCAGTCTTCGGCTAATGAACGTCATCATAATTTTCCTTCCCTGCCACAAATATTTACTGACAACCTACTTCTTGTACATTATTATTCTACGTTTCTGGTAAACAGCTTGGGTTGGATCAGTCTCCCTCCTCCAGGAGCTCAGTACTCATAGGAGCTTGCATTTCTTAGGCCCTTCCTCTGTGCAGACCACCAGCTGGGAGTTAGTCTTTCATTTAGCCTTTGCTGCAGGGGCAGGTGGTGTAGGGGGTGGTTAACTGCATAGGCTCCCAGCTTAGACGATGTGGGTCTAAAACTGACTTTGTCAATTGTTTCCTGTGTGACCCTGGCAGGTAGACAAGGCATTTTGCTTCCTGTACCTCAGTTTCCACCTCTGTAAAATGGAGATAATGATTGTATCCACCGAAAGGGCTTGCTGTGAACGTTAAATTAAGTAATGCCTGTGAAGCTCTTGAACATTTCACTATATACATATCTACTTATATGTATATAACAAAATAACAAAGTATTAATATAATAAAAATATAATAAAACAATCACACAGCAGTTATATAATATAGTGATATATAAGATAAACATTTTTATAAATATATAAAAATTATAATGCATTTATATGTGTATACAAATAATCACAGTTATGTTTATAAAATCCGGAAACAAGAATATGTGCCATGTGGTCTAAGACATTTTCACTTTACAAAGTGAATGAATAAATAAATATAAACACATTCACACTCCTATTATCTGTTTCTATACCTTATGGATACCCTGTACTGGTTATATTTTATTTAATTTTATTATTATTATGTGTCCCATGATCCAGATATCACACTACCCAAGAGCAGCTATAAAACACCCATTTTACAGTTGGGTAAACTGAGACCCAAAGAGGTTGAGAACCTTGACCAAGGTGACAGAGCAGGCTCAGAACCCCCAGGATTCGAGCTCTTGTCACTGGCCTCATGGCTTCTTAGTTTGTTTCTTGTGACAGGGATGAATGGAGGACCCATGAATTGGCCAGAGCCTTCTTCTCTGAGCACACCCCGAGAGGTCCCCCCGATCGTTGTGCAGCTGTGATTTGTGCTTGTGTCCTGTGTTCGTCCTTGGCAGCCTCTGGTCCCTCTCTGTATCCAAGTCCTTTCTGGCTGTCCCTTGGGGGGGCCAGCCACGTTTCCTGGGTCCCTCTGGGCTCCTGCCTCCGCACACCCGCCAGACATTCGGTGCTAAAGCAATCAAGGAATGAACTGAGATGAGACATGGTGGCACTTGTTGCACTGGAGGGTGCTGGGTTCGGTGCCGGCTGCTCCTCAGATTCTAGAACCCCCTGAGAAGCACAATTCCATTTCGGTTATGGAGCGCTCTGGGAAACAAGGAGAGAGGCCTTGCTGGGAGCACTCAGCCAAGAGCCTGGGGCGAGCAGCCCCTTCGGGAGAGGCGTGAAATCCCAGGCTCAGAGGACACGACCCCGCGAGGCCTCTTCCCTCGTGTCATTTGCCAGGTGCTGGGTGACGTGGCAGGCCCATCCCACTCAGTGGGGGGCACATGATGATGTCTAATTTTTGCCGTGGGCGATATAGTTCATCATCTCCTCTTTCATCTTTTACTTCCTTCTTCCCTGACAAAGTCCCATTTCCTCCTTCCTGAAGGGGCTTTGCAGAGGCTCTGTGAGCTGGCTGTGGGGCTTCCGGAGGTGTTCTGGTCAGAAAGAGCACCCAGGGCCTGCCCCTTAGGCCTGCGTGTGACCTTGAGTGGCTGCCTTCACCTCTCTGGCTCCAGTTTCTTAATTTGAAAAATGGGGGTCTGACCCTTGCCCTCAAGGGGGTGTGGCAAGAATTAGACAAGATCCTGAATGTGACAGCTCTTTGGAAAGTAACCCTGACGCTTGCACCAGCATGGTGACCATTTTAACAGTTTTTTTCTTTCCTTACCAGACTCTAATGTTTTTAAAGAACCCAAATATATACAAACATTCTTCTCATAAGAAAATCAAACACAGAAGTATACAGAACAAAAATTCCTCCCTCACTGCCTCCCTCCCATCCTTCCTTCTGTAATTAGTACTGCTGTTTGATGTGTTTCCTCCCAGGCATTTTTCTCCTTTACCTGTGTATCTGTGGGCTTGGAGAAATAGAGCTGGTCGGGATTTTTCGTTTTCGTTTTTATGTCGGCGATAACATCCAGGATACATTATTCAACAGTTTCCTTTTTTTCACCCAATAGTATATCTTGGAGGGGTTTTCATGCCAGTACATCTATAGTGGAATAATAGATCTGTGTAATTTTTTAACTGCTGCATAGTATTCCATAGTATGGATTCACTAGGATTTTTGAACTGGTTCCTCATTGATGGGCATGGAAGTGTTTCAGTGGTTTTGCTTTTGCCAAAATAAACATTTTGTGCACACCTGCGAATGTTTATCTAGGACAGATGTGGAAAAACTGAGCTGAACCCAGGGGTATGTGCATTAAATTTGAATGAGAAAACTGCCATGCCCCCGGGCTGGCTCCCTGGCTCTGGGGACAGCCAGGAGAGGGCGGAGGGCCAGAGCACTGTGCATTGTGCACTGTGGCAGGCTGTGGGGGTGGGTGCAAGGTGCCCAGGGGGGCCACAGGTGGCTCGGTTTTAGGGGAGGGAAGTGAAGCTGCCATCTGTCAGCAGGTAATCTCTCCCGGTTCTGCTCAGCTTCCTGCTAGCATGACGGAGCCCGCTGCTCCCAGCTGGCCAGGATGGCTTCTGTGTGCTGGGGAGCCGGTGTTGGGGAGGCTGCTGGGGCGTTAGCTCACAGCGGGATGGGAACGTGGGGTGGCAGCTCCCCCGCTCCCCTGAGCTCACAGCAGTGGCTGAGTCAACCTCCTCCACCTGCCAGGGCGATGGGAATCACTCCGGGGAAAGGCAACGCTGGGGGACTCCGAGCTCTCTTCTCAGGCTAAGGTCAGGCACCGTGGACCCTCCTGGGCCCGGGGCCTGTCCGAGCCCCATCCTCCTGTTCCCACTGCCCATTCTTTTTTAAGTGGCTTTATTGAGGTTCAATTTATATATCATAAAACATGCCCATTTATAGTGTATCATTCAATAACTCAGTAAATTTACAGAGTTGTACATCTATCACCACCATGCAGTCTTAGAGCATTTCGTCACCCCCAAAAGAAACTTTGTGCCCTTCTGTAGTCGCTCCTGGTTCCCACCCCCACCCCCAGCCCTGGGCAACCAGTGATCTATTCTCTGCTTCTATGTATTTGCTTTTCTGGACAATTCTCTACCTGGACTGACACAATATGTGATCTTTCATGATGGCTTCTTCATGTAGAATAATGTTTTCAAGGTGCACCTGGGGTGTGGGGTATATCAGGAAGGATGCCATTCCCTTTTATTGTCCCAAAGTATCCTGATGGATGGGTGGACCACATTGTGTTTCTCCGGTCACCAGGTGATGAACATTTAGATGGTTTCCATTTTGGATTATGATGATGAACAATGTTGCTGAGAACATTTATGTGCAACTCTTTGGGTGGGCATGTTTTCAAGTCTCTTGGGGAGTTACTTAAGAATGGCATGGCTGGATCATATGGGAAATCTATGTTTAACTTTTTTAAAAACTGCCAAACTGTTTCCAAAAATGGGTGCATCCTTTTACGTCTTCAAACCCCATTTTACAGCTTCTCATCTGAGAGACTATGTCATTTGCTGAGACCTCTCAGGTTTCCCATGTCAGACCCAGAACGTGGAGGTGGACCAGTTGCCTCTGAAGGCAGATCGGTTGCCCCTGCTTCTAACAACCAGGCGGCCCCCGCACCTCCTGCAGTTGGTTTTCCCTAGGAAATAAGAGAACCGCCCACTTGTGGTTCTGGTCTGTGTCTCTTTGGGCCTTACGATCCCTGGTGTTTCTGCTGCCTATTCGGTCCTTTGCATCGGGGGTCCCTGCATAAGCTTGCCATTCCTATCTGAAGCTTCTTTCCAAGGCCACAGGAGCCCAGGCGCCCTGGAAATGATCGAACATTTGTTAACGTGTCAGTGCGTCTGTTCTCTCAGAATCTGTAGGGTTTTCTTTATGGAAACTCTTATCACACTCAAAAGTTTGAGCGATTCTTCTATAGCCTAAATTTAGCTCTTCAACTGTTATTCTCATGGTAAAGGTTTTCAAACTTTTTTAAGCAGTGGAAACTTTTCTTTAAATGAAATATTATGCAGAACCCCAATATGTAAAGCAGATGAAAGAGCTATTCTGGTTGGGACAGGAACCTTGTCCACCCCCACTCCTGTCCCAGCCGCCCCTGCAAACCTCTCCCTCACCCTTGGGTGCATCAGCAGACACCCGGGCTCTGCAAGGCACCCTGAAACCATTGACTCATCTGAAGGAAACGCTGCTCTGACTTTCACTTTTGATACTTTGGAAAGGGGAAGTTTCTTTTCTCCTAATCATAAAAATATGCATCCTTATAGAAAATCTTAAAAGGAGAAGACAAAAAAGAAACGTAAAGATGAAAATAAAATCAAACCAACTTCTCGCTAAACAGAAGCAACCATTGATGATATTTTGGTATTGTTGTATCAGTCAGGATCCTGATAGGAAACAAATGGTGTTCTCTCATGGGGGTAATTTGAGAAAGGTTTAATAAAGTGGAAATTTGCAGAGTTTAGGACAACAGTCCTCAATGTTTTTGGTCTCAGGGCCCCTTTATGTTCTTAAAAACCGAGAACCCCCTAATAGCTTTTGTTTAATTGGTTTCTATATATCGATATTTACTATATTAGAATTTAAAACTGCCCTGGCTCGGGTGGCCCAGTGGATGGAGTGCCAGCCTGTGAACCAAA